CTTCCATGCCAACCTCCTTTCTCGATACAGAAAAAGTTCTCCTAAAGTAACATTACCTCTCCATTTGGTGCTAAAGGTGCTAGAGGGGGTTTACCATCGGCTGAAAAAGTCCTAAAGATAGACCAATATAACATCCGTGGTTTGAGCAAGAACATCAACGATGTTCATCGACACCTTCAGACTGAAATGACAGACATATTGGCCCTGACTGAGACACCAATACGACCTATATGCTCTGTCCTGGGTACGAACTCCACACAAGTTTCAGGTTCAAGAGAGGTGTCCACCTCTAATCTGGAACGAATCCCTCAAGTCATCGAGAAAAAACAGGTTTGATGTTATAGGATTCTGACTCGATAGCCAGGAAGAGACCAAATATCTTTGTTGTCTCTACCTATCACCAAATGATCCATCCTTTGAAAAGCTCTTCCAATTCTTGTCCTTGAAGCTCGACCTAATTTAGCAGAACCATCAAGCAGCAGAAATTATCATCATGGGAGATTTCAATGTACACAACACTGCTTGGTTCGTACACTCCAACAAAACGGATGAAGCTGGGCGACAAGCCGAAGCTTTCGCCATCACTGACGGCGTAGAGCAGCTTATCAAGGAACCAACACGAATTCCTGATTTCAGCAATCATTCAGCCGACACACTAGACTTATTCCTCACTAATAATTCACCACCTAACACCATGGATGTACGAGCTCCACTTGGCAATTCTGACCACACACTCATCTCCAAAACCTGCCCATTATTCATTCCATCAACTACTCCAGCACCCCCACGTTTTTTTTTTTTTAGTTTTCCTTGGCATACATTCGCATATATTGTTCTTTGGGTCTGAAGATCCTTCACAGGGTGCCGCGGAAATATCCGAGATCATCACGCTTAGAAAGGACACATACATACCTCGTTCTTCGAAAAGACCATCAGCTTCGAAACCCTGGTTCAATAAGAACTGTTCTAGAGTTGTTGCCTCGAATTGAACAGGCTATCATCGCTGGCGCAAGGACTCTAACCTCGTGATTAGAGCAGGCTAAGTTGAAGCAAGGAATAACTGCAGCCAAACAATAGATGCATCACAAGAATCATACAATGTCATAGAATGTCCCAATGGCTCCCGTTCGTTTTTGTCCGTCACTAAAGCAGTCGGAAGGAATTTCACTAATTGTTCATTCCCACCACTCTCCAAGGCCGACGGCACATCAGACATTCCACCCGTTGAAAGTCGAATGCCCGAAATTGTCTCTCGTCAACGCACTATTAGACGCATTCTGCTCGGTCTCAGAACGAATAAGTCCAGTGATCCTGATGGAATTCCACCCATTATTCTCAGAAGTATGCACCAGAATTGACACCGATTCTCTGGAAGCTATTTACAATCTCCTACAAGTCGGGTATTTTCCATCTTGCTGGAAAATAGCTAGAGTCCAACCAATCCCCAAAAAACGGAAACAAGAGCCTGCCCCACAACTATAGGCCTATATTGCCCTGTAACCAGTCATCTCCTAAGTGATGGAGAAAGTCATCAACATTGAGTTCATCAAATATCTGTTAAGTTGAGGAATCATCAATGATTGACAATATGGCTGTCGCCACCGAAGATCAACTGGAGAATCACTTGCTTACGTCACCCATATATGGCAAACTTCATTAGAGAAATATGGGGAATCTCTAGATGTTGCGTTCGATATATTATCTAAGGCATTAGACCGTGTTTGGCACCAAGGACAGCTCCACAAACTACCATCATACGGCTTACCACCTCAGCCATGTCCTGTTTTATTGAGTTTCCTTTCAGGCAGATCGCTCCATGTGGTGATGGACAGCATTGCCATTAATTCCGGCGGAATTTCGGCGAAATTCCGGAGGAACTCTGGTGATATTCTCATTTATATTTAATATCTTTGATATTCAGATTAGGTTGGTTTAGTGGGAAGTCAACAAATGTTGCTATTTGGCCTATACGCTTGTTTATTATCTTAGATTTAATACAATACAACTTTAAATTCTATAATTTTCGTCGTCGGATGAGTATTAGTGCCGATATTTTGATCAGAAGAGGACAAAAACTGCAATTTTCAACTAAAAAAATAGCAACTTTTTGAAGTCCTGTATCTTGGAATGTGTTAGACCCACAAGAATGGAATCAAACCCAAATAGTCTGGAATTTGTCTAGCTACAAAATTGGTCAGGTTGACTTTTTCTTTAGGAACCCCAATTTTAGGACTTTTGGGCTAAAAACCAATATTAGTTGAGCCAGTTCGCGATTTTTCGAGCACCACACTTTTAGTCTAGGTCTTTCGAAGCTGAACTTGGTTTTATATCATTGAGACATTGCATAACAACATGCAGAAAAAAAGGAATGTGCGAATTAAAGCGAACTTTCCCAATTTTTTGTCTAGGTCAGCGGCCTATATTCACAGTTGGCGATTCATAAACCTGGTGTTTCAGGTAGCCCCACCGACTTATTAGACTGCTATAAGTTGCTTGCCTGAAAACGCTTTTGCTCAATACGCAGGAACCCCCCAAGCTGTCGTTCATGACATGGTATCGAAATCAACCTAGCATCCATTTTGTTCATAGACGGGACAAGGTGGATGGCGTCGTCTCAAGTGTTTTGTTCATGTCATCAGGGGTCGGCTTAATAAATACACTATAATATCAAAATTGAGTGGTGATATTAATTTTTTCGTTTTATTTTCGCCAATTCTAGGAAATATGAAGTGATTTGTTCTTTGGTGTAGGAATTCCACGATTAAGTGATTAGTGATTTTCTGATTTTATTCGTTATTTTTCTCACTCTGTAGAAAGATGATCTAATCATGTCTACCATCATGCCTTGCCTGGTATCATTAAAATTCATATAAGAATTATTATACAGTATGATGCAAATGTATGGGATGAATTCATTTCAAAACAAGACGACTTTCGAAAAAAAAACCAAGAACTAGAGTTTAGAACTTTTTTTCGACGTTATTTTTTAACTAGACGACCCTTCGATGTTCAATTCTCAGTAGCAGACCTCTGCAAGATTCAGTTGATCACATGATAATCCATTTTAATTTCAATCTTCTTATGCAACATTTTGACTGTTGAATAGACGATCAGTAGACCTTTCAATCAAGGTGTCACATAACCCCTATTTGTATTTGAAAAAATCGTCCATTACGTCTTTACTCCAACACCGGTGACGTAACATGTCTCATATGAATATCATGGGATGAGGTTTCAGAAATTAAAACTCACGTGTTTTTGGATTTTTTTTTTGAATTTGCATCATACTGTATACGGTGACGAAAAATGCAAGTATCCAAAAATTGTAACGTTAATAAAAACACCCCTCATTATATTGTTTAAAAACTTGATATAGGAGTATGTGTGACTAGTTCGAATTGATTGCCATTATAATTTTTTTTTATCGCTTGGAGCGCACGAGAGGGAATCCCTATAATGTTCAAAAAACATCGTGCGTTCCTAGGGAGGATAGGGATAGGAGGTAGGTATTGGAATTTTTTTTGAACTTTTGGAGATTATATGTTGTTGGGAACACTTCCACAGGCAATGAATTCCAGAGCCTAGCCTAATTCGTTTTTTTTTCATTTTGCTGAAGTATTTGTGATCGCAGTAGGCCAAGAAATCGTGTTTGATAATTTCTTTTCTGCTCGACAGAGTAGATAATTCTTAGTACTTTATTATGAGAAAAAAAATCAAATCGTCTTAGGAATACTAAAGTACAGGGGTGGGGTGGACCGAATTGTATCTCCCTCAATAATATGCATTTTGAGCCATAAAAGTGTACATACAAAATTATACTATTTTTTAACGTACTACCCGTTACTACCACATTTTTGACTCACACTGTGCATGGCTATAGATACTTAATTAGTTAGGTATCCGTTTTCTCACCCTGGCTTCATGTCCAATCCAACTTCTATGTCTATGTGGTATGCACGAATATGAGCAAATAAGCAATAAGCGTATCAATCATCAATCAAGGACAATAATAATTAAATTGCATTGTTGATAATTTTCATCTATACATACCTACTTTGCAGTTGCAACAATGTGTAGGTATGTTATGAGTTTAGCCTAGTATATTGACGTCAGTTTATTTACATTTTCTATTTTGAGATTGGTGTGAACATTTTATGGGTATGCTGCTGCAAGTTATTGCAATTTTTGTACATGGTGATTGAATATCGGCTTCACGCTTTCAATACTCAAAATCTCGAAATCTAAATAACATATTGGAAACTCCAAAACAGAATCTTGATTCAGATGTACTTCTCTCTCGAATGGTGCGCTCCAAACATTATTTCTCTATTTCCATATACAGGGGGTGTGGGAATGTTAATTATTTTCAAATGGAATGCCCAATATTTTAAAAGAGTGATTTTGCTGGTTTCAAAAATATATAATTTTCATACATTCCATGGAGCAATACTGGGTGAATCGTAGAAATAAAACTCGAGAATAATTCAATTTTTTGTAATGAATTCTTCTGATTCAACTAATGATGAGCTCGAACCAGGATATTATCGAAAATATCGATTGTCAGTTGACCTGACAGCAAACCTGAATACAATATAAGATACGGTACCTAATTTCACAACCACAATTTCAATCAATTTCAAGTTATATCCCTTAGATTCACCCAGAGTATATTTTTGAAATCAGCAAAAACCACTCTTTCAAAATATGCAATAAAATATAGGGTGTTCCATTTGAGATAAAAAACATTTTCACACCCTTCGTTATATGGAATTGAGGTATAGGTAATGTTTGGAGAGCACCATTCCAAAGAGAACAAACGCATCTGATTCAAGCTTTTGTTTCGTAATTTAGTTTTCGAGATATTGATTGTTGAAAGCGTGAAATCCATAGTCATTCACCCTGTAGACACTGAAAGGATACCGATACGATACATTCATATGTGAATGAACATATATATAATAAATAAGGTTTACCCTCACCAATTTATAGATTTTTCTTACCTCTAGACAGATGTTGGCTATTCATGTTCTCTGCTAGAAAAATATCACTTCAGCAACAAATTTAATACAATGTCCAAATAGGTATTGATTAGGAGAATCCTATTGATTATTTCAAGATTCAAATTAGGACACAAGTCACACAACACGAACTACACGATTCAAAATTACGACTGCTGTGTGCCGTGCACACTTGCAAAGCTGCACAGCTGATCGGATATTGTTTATTTACAATATAGTGCTACGACAAGGTGCTGCCATCTGTGATATACAATATGGAGTAGGCATTTCAATACAGGGAAAGGATGTTTTTGTTTCGACATTTGGCTTCACATCATTTCTTTTACTATGTTCCAGTCAATCAATGAACGAACACACATAGCAAAACAGAATTCTGTAAAGGAACAATAGTTCAATTGTCTTAAGATAGACTTCACTAGTAACCTGCCTACGCAACTAAATTGAAATAGGTATAATATCGAAAAATTCAAAACCAATATTTCAATACTATTCTGGTTAATCATGACTTCATGTTATGAGTGGTGAAACAGCGTGGGGGACTTCATGTTATTCATCAATTATTGCGATAATTGAAAATTCTATTTATAAACATGTTAACCATTGTAGCATGATTCATACAGACATAAACACGGCCCTGTGGCGCAACGGATAACGCGTCTGACTACGGATCAGAAGATTCCAGGTTCGAATCCTGGCAGGGTCGGTCTTTTTTTTTAATTTTTCATCACGATCTAGTTTTCTTCTTTGGATTGTCTCAAATACAGGGTTTCTGTGGATGCTTTTGATATCGTATTAACAGTACATGTTCATTTTGTAATTAGTTTCAGCACCTCGATTATTATAAGGAATATAGGACAGACAACGAAAAACGCGTTTCACCGTTAAGTTTGTTATAAGAATTGATCTCATTCAGAAGCCTATACCGGTGTTTTCCTGGTTTGAAAACAGTTTTTCTTCGAACGACGTAGAAAGTGGCTTTTCTATAACACAAAACAGTCAGCAAAGGTGTACTTTCTCTGCCTAGGCAGAAAAAGGTTGTTTGCTATGCAACGTTTCCAAGAATACTTTGAACGAAATTATAATTTGAATTAAATAGGTGTATTATGGAGTTTTCAATAAAAAAATCACAAAATCGGTTTTATAACATTTGGAAAAAAAGTTGAATGTTTCACCTTGCAGCAAAGTAGATTTACTACCTTGGCTGAATTATTCATAGCCTCGCTATGCTTATCTATCAACTATCAGGTGCGTCAATCAATCTAGTACTTTGTTGCCTATATAGTAAAACGAATAACTATTTCCTCATTTTCCTTACCCTGGCATATTATATTTCGATAAAACTCCATATAACGCCAAATTTTCCCAATGTTCGTGAAGGAATTTTGATGAGAGGAGAATAACATGCTATAATATAAATCAAACTCAATTCATAGACCATCAGATGGTGTTCTTCTGTAATTAACATATTCAAATTCTGTAGATCATATTTCATTTATTGTATCATGGTTTATTGGTTTCTATAAATGATTGGAACATCGTAAGATGCCGTTAAAATATTATTTCCATAATAATATCCCATGCACTCTAAGAAAACTGTTGGTGTCTTTTTCAATTCCAGACTATTAGAATCAACACTAACTCTATTTAACACCAAAATTGTACTATCCTATCATTAGTATTGGAAATTTGATATCGTGGGGTTCGACGGTGTAATTCGTAATACATTATGTCGAATCTGAATTCGGAATCATACTGTTTCATACTCATTCAAACTGTAAACATCAAATTATACTATTTATGAATAACAAAGTTGATATATTGTGAAAAATTATCACTATGGTAGGTGTTATTTTTCAAAATTTATATCATGAAATTGATCAACTTTCATATTTTTCATGTGACTATCTATTTTATGAATGACCCATGTTCACACGAATAATTTCTCTTCAAGATATTCACCTTGTTATGAGATTGATAATCAAACCAGTGTTTTTCTGATATCACTAATATACTGGTACTGGTACTGGTGGGGGACGTTTCCACGTCAGCAACTAGTCCCTAATGGGAACTTTTTGCAAACCCCAAGTGTTTTCAATGGCTGATGTGGTTCGCTCAAGAGAGCTGGCTAACATCCTTTTCAGGCACCGCCTATCAGCTCTCTTTCAGAGTTTTTCGGCTGTTTTGTAGGCTAGTAATGTACTCACTACCATATGCGCAGTGGCAGGCCTGATGCTAACTATCCTCGATTCCTCGTTAACCCCCGAGACCGAGGTCTACTAAGCAGCTGGCCCGCTCTCACGCTCAGCTGGTAGTTTTTTCCACACCCACCTACATACACCGTCCTACTTCTTCTCTGATGCTCACAACCACATCATCATATCTTTCTGCGTGTTCTGTGTAGGCTTTGTTACTAACTCCATGCGCCACTTTAGGAGCAGCACTGTTAGTTGGAACGAAACAGCGAATCGTGCAGGACTATCCCCAGCCGATGTCCCGAAACTTCACAATATTCAATTCGTAAATAAAATATTGAAAAAAGTTCCTTGCTCGTGCTGGGAATCGAACCCACGACCATATCACTAATATAAATGACACCGGAAGAGTTGTATATCACAGTTGAGAGAATATTATATATTCTCTCAACTGTGATATAGGGCACAAGCGAGTTATCACCTGTGATTATAAAGTCGACTTTGCTGGTTATAACCCACCTGCGATTTTTTTCCCTCATTTCTTTAACGTCGGCCTTTTTCTGCTACTGAGGCTAATCAGTAATCACCGACGCCGGTGAGCACACTATACCCCCATAGTAATCGGACACCTGCAATTATTAGATATATAACCATGCTGCCACTATAGCGAGTGCATCTGTATATTGCTATTTGACGATGTTTCTGTAGTAGGTTAGTGCCTTTGCTACCGCTAGTGAGTGCATCTAATACTGGGAGTTGGGCAATGTTATAATCGTATAGGTAGGGAACTTTGCTACTCTTGATGGGTTGTTGTTGTTGTTGGGTGATCATATAGATAGTTGCATGACCTTCTTACTGTAGTTATTCAGTTATTTCCCAGTTGTTGTCATCAAGAAAGGTGAAATTTTGACTGATATCCAATTTCACTTCCCATAATTTCCACCCTGATGCTGTTCTTTGAAATTAAATAGATCATCAATTGATTCATGCACCCTCAGGGCAAAAACAAAAGGTTTTTGAGTAATTGATGAAGAGAAGAATTTTTCTGAAACTTTCTGAAACCATTGTATTTCGAAAACTAGCTAAAAAAGTTATTACAGATGCGTACAGGAAAACAAAATGTTACTAGTGAAATCATTCAAATAATTTCATAACCTGGACATTTTTGCTCACAATAAGTTTTTAGACCACATTCTATATAAAAGCTCTGTAACATATTTGACATTTTTGAAGTTTCATGGTACCAAAAAGAAGGAAATGTTGAATGTAGAATATTTGAATTTCAGTCGAAATACCTCGAAAAAACTCACCTTTATCATTCCATCAATCCTGGTAATAACTGAAGCAATCAGATCCACTAAAGCACTGAAAGGGACACAGAAGATTTTTGTATTTGTTTAAGAATGTTTCCATTTTAGATTTGAATTCAGATTCAGATTTTAAATAATGCATTGAATTCAAGAGGGGAAGTATTCGTCATTGTCGTATTTGTCGTGTCGTCGAGATTGTCGTCCTGTACATGGGTTTGCATCAGGAGCCCAACTGTAAATGATTGATCAAGCAAGATGTCTGACCATTGTCGATCTAAATGAAAACCTTGTAGGCGACCTAGTACGCGAGGAGGTACAATATTGTCTGTTCTTTGAATCAAAATCTGTCTGCCTGTCAAGTGGCGCTGGCATCCTGAAAATGGAAAAAGCTCATTTGTTTATGTCAAAATCTTCTTCTTCTTCTTCCCTTCAGTTTGAATGGCCTTAGCTGCCTGGGCTATCTGGCCAAGTACACGCCTCCTTAAGTTTCTCCTCAATGGGGATCCACTTCACAGTGGGACTGAAAGCTTTTCATACCCCCTGAGGAACCTGTCAAAAATAATCACTTTACAGTTATTCCAATCTTTCACCACTTCTGCACTAGGAAATCTACAAGCAATTTCAAGCAACTCCTTTAAAGCTCAAGCACATTAAGCAAGACTAGTTCTACTACTTTCACTCTGTTCATTTAAGCACTACTCTAGTGCTTCACTCACTACCTCACATGGCTGTTTATAGACTTAGACCAGAGGATTTCAAAAATTCGCAAATGAATTGGCACTTGTTAACAGTTAAGTTCTCAAATAAAATATTGTGGAGCGACATGGGAAAAAGCCCCGAGGGCTTGTTTTCACTACTGATGCTAGTTAAACCATTATGCAATACTGATAGGTTGTGAATGTTGTGTGAACAACTGAAGAATAAGTGCTCCAGATCCTGCCAGGATCCACAATCACATAGAGGAGATTCTTTAACATTTATTCTGTTCAGGTGACTATTTGTTAGACAATGACCACTTCTCATTCGACATATAGTTGTTATTTCCTTCCTTGATAGAGTTGGAAGACCCTTGAACCATGGAACCCTCAAAGGGTTAATTACTGATGGAGTATATCTCCTTCCTTTAATGCTGCTCAAATTTCGATAGGTGTTGATCCATTTACTCCAAGCTTGCTCTTTCAATATTATTCGTAGGTCTTGAAAAGATGTCAGTGCAGGATTTATAATTTGAAGCTTACAGCCCTCTTTAGCCAAGTAGTCAGCTTTTTCATTCCCTGGAATTCCCGTATGGCTGGGAATCCATACCAAATCTACTCGATTCCCCGAATTTTTTATTTGTTCAATTTTTTCCCTTACTTTCAAAGTCAAATTTTCAGTTTTTGCAGAGATACTACATCTAGCTATTTTTTCAAGAGCACTCTTCGAGTCTGACAAAATTATGGAGTGGTCTAAACCTAACTCTTGAATCTTTTCAAGAGCCAAGTTGATAGCAAATACTTCAGCCGAGCATATCGAGAATGTGATTGGCATTCTAGCTGAGATGCTAATTATATTTCGAGAATATACTCCTATTCCCACTCTATCCACTGTCTTGGAGCCATCAGTGTAAATCAAGGTTTGATAAGGCCATTTTTCCCTTGCTCTTTCGGAAAATACAAT